TCTGGTTTACAAAGGAATCTCAAGTTCCAAAGACTCATTACATTCTTTGGTTCTTTTTTCTTGAAGGTAATGTGAGTCCCCTTTTCTACCTTTTAAGCAACATACCCAAAATATGTGAGATGAGCAAAGTATATGAATCAGACAGTTGTCTGGCCATCTGGGTGACTGACTGGAAGAATTTTCTGCCTCTAGGCTAACTTATTTTAAGCCTCACAGATGACCAAGTCCCGAAATAGCATTCCATGAATTACATGTTCCTAATCCCATCCAAAAATTGTCATTTATATTGTTTACATTTTTTCAAGCTATTTCACTCCCTTTGTGGATCATAAACACTACACATATGTGTAATCCTACCCAGCCTTGATTGTTGTTATAGTTGTTAGGTGCCGTCCTATCAACTCTGACTCATTGTAACCCTAAGCAAAACAGAACAAAGCCTTGTCTTGTCCTTGACATCTTCACAATTTCTGCTGTGTTTAACTTCCTTGTTTGTAGTTACTACTATTAGGGCTTCTTGTTTAAAAAGATTCATCCTCTGTCACTCTGACTGTCTACTTTTCCAAGCATGATGTCTTTTTCTAAGGACTGACCTCACTTGATAGCTTGCTGACAAATGTAAGATAATTGTCACCAGGTTTGTCCCTAAAAAGAACTCTCCCTGCATGGCTATCAGGACAGAATGTTTTTTTTCTTTTGACAGTCTTTGTATATTCAATGTTTTTTCCTCATGATGTGGGAGAACATTGGAGATCTCCTCCAATACATGCAGCCTTGAAAACATGATTAGAAAACCCATAGCAAATATTCCGTATAGCCCAGTTAGGCATAATTCTTAGGTATGTTTGTCAATTTTTTTCTTAATATATTATATAATGTACTTTTCTATGCATGAAAGATGATAAACATTTCAAGATACACTAAGAATTTTGATCAAATAGGACAGTAATAATAATTATTGTTTGTGATAATATTTTTAAGTATATCACAGAATAATGGTCCTTTATCATTGAAAAATTATGCTATGGACTACAAATGTTTGCTATGATAAGCTTTATAAGAGATTTATTTATAATTATATCTCGTATGAAAATCAGATTTTTATATCCTGGGGAGTGGAGTTGAGTTGGGGAACTGACTCTATTTATGTTTGTACTATGTCACTGCTTTGTGAACTCTACTAAGCCAAGCCCAACATACAATCTCCGCCTCCTTTCCTGTCATTCAGAATAAATATAAGAAACATTCTAAATGCACAAGTGGTTCTTATCTCCTTTTGCAGCCTACAATCTGTGTGGGAATCTGAAAAGAGCTAAGTAGAGCACTCAGTTTCTTTCGCAGGATCATCTAATCAGGTTGTATTTTTTTATTACTTCAGATTTAAGATCTAGAAAATGTGGTATATAAACTATATATTACAAAATTATTTTAACAATTTTTTTATTATTAACAATTATTTTGCCTAATGATACAAATTTCTTATAGTATTTTAAACCATTTGTCACTTATCAAAATTAGCTTTCATTTACTTTGTGCTTCCTGTTTAACTTTAGTATATAATATTGTAGCTACCTTATAAATTCTATATGCTTGAGTTTTGTGGATTTTCTACAATATATATAACAAGTAAGGGAGAAATAATTTTTATTTCTTGTGCTCATGCCTGTGTAATACAAATGGTCTACTATTACAAAGGTATTCGCAAATATTACTGTTACTTTAAGAAACTTCAGCAGTAACAGAGAAGTTCAAGGTTCTTGTTTATAAGTAGGTAATGATTACTAGTTTATTGGTCATTTTTATCAATAAATCTTGAGTAGAGATTGCGAAATTAAAATTTAGCAAATTCTTCTGAGCATGTTCTTTGAGACAGAGAAAGTGCTGTGAGATATAGGATAAAATGCTATACATGAGCACAGTTTCTGCTTTTAGTAACTTTGATCAATCTGGACTTTTTTTGTATCATGATATTTCTACTGACGTACTTCTAGACCACAAACACAAATCCAGCTTGAGAATAAGTTCTCTACACATTCTAGAAATGTTAAAAATTATTTAATGCATTAGCAAAAGAGAGGGTCTTTATGGAGATAAAGAATATATATATGCATATATACACATATATGTGTGTGTGTGTATACATAAATAAATATGTGTGTGTGTGTCTGTGTGTGTATATATATATTTCAGAGGGTCCAATTCTTGGGAAAAGATATCATGCTGGGAAAAGTGGAGCATTAGAGAAAGAGAGGAATATTCTCAACCAAGTTGACTGACAGTGACTATAACAATGAGCTCATGGGTATCAAAGACGGTGAGGATGGCACAGAAAAGGCAAGATTGAGATCTGTTGTTTATAGGGTCATTATGAATTGTAGTTGACTTGATAGTAACAGTAGACATGCACACATACACACATACACAGACAAAAGAAGAATATTGCCTACATAATAATTGCTAGGAGATTATACCCATTTATATGAAGATAAATAATTAACCATTATTTACAGAAGAATTCACTGAGGAAATTACATAAGTGGCTAGTTCATCTTTCCTACCCTCTGTTGTCTATAAACCACTTATTGTTCAATTTCATAACGCATGACCCCTGTGTGTCAATGGCTTATTTTTCAGAAATATACCCCCAGGCCTCCTTTCTAGGTATCTCTGGGGTGGACTTCGACCTTCGATTTGTTGGTTAGAAGCTGGGCAGGCTAATCGTTGTATCCCTAGGGACTGGTAGAAATGAAGTTGCTAACACTTTTTTTTTACATATATAATCTGTTCTCTTTTAAAAAATTTATTAATTTTAGTGAACATTTACACAGATTTTGGATTTCTATTCATTCATTGTTGCACTTTTCTCCCTGCCCACCCCTCCCCCCAGTTCGCTCTTCTCTTTGAAAAGTAAAAGAAAAATTCCTTTATTGGTATACAATTTCTCCTCCTCTTTCCCCCTCAACCCCGAGTACATTCCATTATGCAACCTTAATTCTGGACTCTTGTGATAACCATAATAACTTATCATATATCGCTTTTAAACATTTATCTGAGAAGACAAAGCTAGAATGACAGCCCTCAAATTCAGGGCTGTGAAGAACAGAGTAAGGTTTTTAAGCCCCAAATAAAATATTGCTGTTCTCACTTGTGGTCTTCTATGTCTGACCAGCAAACACCCAAGCAGCAAAACCTTTCCATAGAAATATAAGTCTAAGTCTAAGAAATATAACTAACAAATATTGGCCTAAGTCTTATGTCTCTATCTTTACCTGATTTTCCAGTATTTATCACAGAATCTAGGAATGAAGTAGTCATTCTTTTCAAAGTGTTTGCTAAGTAAAATGAAGTGTTAGAGATAGAGTTGAAAGGGGTGAAGCAAGAGGAGAAAGGAGTGAGGAAAGAAATGAAGAACGAAGAAGAAGAAAACAGGAAGAAAGATACCTCTAAATTTAATGAACTCCACAAATCATATCACAATTGTACTTGGTGCTACTAGATAACAGTGATCTATGTATTCAGAAAATGAAATTGATACTTCTTGTCAAAGTGAAATACACTTTTTGCGAAGACAGAGAACAGCTAATGAGTGAATCTAGACATCTTGATTTGAGAAACGTTACTATAAGGCATTATATGAGGACAATTTATTTTAATATATGATACCTAGTTTTCCTCCAAGGGCAAACATTAATAATGAAGGAAGAGCTAGAATTCAGCCAGTATACATCAGCTACTCCCAGCTGACTGCAAGCCAATTCCTAGAAACTTGGCAGAACACCAGAAAAGCAGTTCACATTCCTTATAGATAGGATCTATTTCTGCTATTAAAAGAGTTGGTTTGTGGGAGCAAGAAGGTTTGTGAAGAAAGCTGACAAATTAATAAAGCCAGTTCTTTTCTTTTAGGACTTGTAATTTAATTTTCTTGATAAAATTACATCGGAAACATCTCAAAGGGAGGTTTTTGAAAGAGATAAGGTTTCCTTGAGAGATCAGGATTTGCTCCCTCATTTAAGAGTCTCCATAGTAAAAAGATGCATGATTAGTTTTGTTAGGTTTCTAAACCACACACTAAGCCATTTTTTAGTTAAAAACAAACACATGAATCATACTTCCATTTCATTATGCAATGATATAAAATGACACATAGCAAGTAATTGCAAAGACCACGGCCTGGAGCAAGTATACCTCAGTCTCTAGACTGATATCATTGCTCTTTAGCACTTTAGAGAGGTCACTGACAGCAGACTTCCTCAATGCAATTCATTTTCTTATTTCCTAACTACTGGTGCTAAGAATATTGATTGTAGAGCCAAGCAGGCTGAAAATGTTAACAACTTTAATCTCATCTCCATCTATCGTGATGCTGACAATTGACCCACAGGTAAGAATCTTTGTCTTCTTATGCTGAGTTTCAATCCATATTGAAGACTACAGTCCTTGATCTTTTGTGGCAAGCACTTTTTATCCTCCTCAGTTTCAGCAAGCATGTTTGTGCCATCTGCATAATACAGTTTGTTAATGCATCTTCTTCCAATTCTGATGCCACATTTCTCCTCATAAACTCCAGCCTCTTGAATAATCTTTAAGGTAAATTCACTAGAAAGCACAAACACTTTATCAATTCCCTAAAAATCCACAATAGTCACTAATGCATAAACAAAATAATTTTTCAGATAACTTTTGGGATAACAGTAAACAAAAGCACCATCATTCCTCTATTATACTCTCATGGCTTGTATCTCACTGTTTTGTAGATATATTTGTATAGATTAATAAATTAAAGCTCTGGTGGTCTAGTGGTAAGAAGCTGTGCTGCAGTCCCAAAAGCTTTGAGGGAGGAGAATGGGCAGTCTCCTCCAATGCGATTTACTGTCTCTGAAAAGTCGCTGGAAGCTATGAGTTGGTTGGTACTAACTTAGTGACACATAACAACAACAACAACAACACATAAAGTATAAAAATCTAGCTTTCTTTCTTTCTTTCAGTTACTATAGTTCATGATGGATTCTTCCACATCTACTGCTGTTGAAAAACTTTGCAGTATCCGTGGACTTTTAATATATGAAAGCTTTTTAAAAAATTGGGATAATGTGCAAGCATTCCAGGCAAATCCAGATGATATAGTTATTGCAACCTACCCCAGATCTGGTAAGTATCTTCTATATGTCATCATTGCTCCTTTTTAAGGTGGAAATGATTTTAAAAAATGACCTTGAATGGTAAGTAACAAATTCATGGTTATAGTATCACCTTCTTGCTAATACCTCAACATAAATCCAGAGTTACGTGGGCATAGATAGAGAAAAGAAGTATATTACCAGCCTATTTTATTCCCTAAAGTTTATACCTATGACACAAACAAATAAATATTGTTGGCTGAGCTAGAAATGTATGACGTCTTCCGAATATATCTAGCTATAAATTTTGTATTCCCGATGTCAGCTCCACACAATAACTAATTTTAAATTGATTTTTACAGGCACAACATGGGTCAGTGAAATTGTCGATATGATCCAAAAAGATGGTAGTGCTGAAAAATGCAAAGATGCCATTTTTAATCGAGTACCTTACTTGGAATCCAAAAATGAAGATGTGTTTGATGGTAATGTTTGAACTCATTTTAAAATCAATGTATACATATTATAAAGGGTGGTTACAAGTGGGGCTAAAAACAAGACTGTTTTTAAAGGGTGGCAGTTTAATTATAACTTCTACATATGGAAGCAAACAAATTGTTTCTATCTTGCGATTGTTTGGACTTGTGTCTACAATAGAGGAAAACGGTAACTGTTATATGTCTTAAAAGAAGACTACTAATAAGTTGTCATGTGCTGTCAAGTTGGAATCAACTCATGGCTAATCATCCAGAAAATTTTCAGACAGGCAGTATATCACCCAGAAAGAGGTGGCCCACTCATTCTTCTCCACAAAGCAAATGGTGGATTTTGACTGTGTGTGTGTCTTTGGGCTGGTGGCACAACTCCTTACCATTTGGTCACCTATTTTAATTTGTTTTGGCTATAAGTAATAAAAGATTCAATGACACAAAACAACAGCGAAAAAACACAAACTTTTTTTTCATTCATATACATTGTTTTATACTATCTTTCATTTACATTATATTTCATACACTCATTCATATACATTCTATTTTACATTATTTTTAAGTATTTCTATGTATTTCTTCCATCTTCCTTTGCTGCTTCCTGAATAACTCAATACTATGTCCATAATATGCATAAGTATTGCAAATTGAGGCTTGAATTCGTTCTTCAGTCCCTTCAGCTTAAGAAATGCCAAGTGAGTCAGTTCCTTTTTTAATTTTCTGACTCCAGCTCTTTGTATATGTAACTAGAGCACTTTGCTTTGTCTTTCTGAGCTGCCCTTTGAAATTTTCTGTTCAGCTCCTTAATTTCTTGATTTCTTCAATTTGCTTTGGCTTCTAGGTATTCTAGTACAATATTCAGTATCTTCTGACATCCTTGGTCTTTTCTTCCTCCTTTGTCTTTGTAAAGACCTTTTCCATTGTTCATGGATGATATTCTCGATATCTTGCAACAGCTTGCCTGATCTTCATACGTTAGTATTGAAGACCTCAAACTTGTACCTGAGATGGTTTTTAAATTCAGGTAGGATAGACTCAAGGTCAAATTTTGGTCCTTGTGGATTTGTTTAAATTTTCTTTAGATTCAGCTTGAACTTGCATGTGAATAGTTGATGGTCTGATTCTCAGTCAGCACCTGGCCTAGTTTTCATAGCTCATCCCGAGTTTCTCTAACAATTCTTTCTAAAGATATAATCAAATTGATTGCTGTGTAAACCATAATGTGAAGTCCATGTACATGTCACTGTTTATGCTTCTTATAAAAAGGTTTTTCAGTGAATAAATCATTGATTCTACAAAATTCTGAAATCATTCTATCTCCAGCCTCATTTTTGTCACCAAGGACATGTTTTCTGACTACTGATCCTTCTTTCTTGTTCCCAGCTAGTCACCCAGTATTATTAATGCATCCTTGTTAGGTGCTTGGTCAATTTCTGACTGCCAAGTTGGTAGAAATCATCCATTTTCTCCTCTTTGGCTCTGGATGTTGGGTTGGTATACATGCCTGAATGATAGTGGTTTTATCAAGTCTTCCTTGTATGCATTTAGATATTATCCTGTCACTCACAACATTGTATTTCAAGATGAATCTGGAAATAGTCTTTTTAACTATGAATGTGACAATGTGACTTGTTCTTTTTTACTTTTTCATTTCTGGAATAGTAAATAACATGATTGATTCAAAATTTCCCATTTAAATCCATCTCATTTCATCAATGTCAATCTTTATGTGTTCTGTTTCTTTCTTATTAATGTCCAATTTTTCTACACTCATACTTCTCATATTCCATGTTCCAATCACTACTGCCTGCCTGCAACTGTTCTTCCCTCCTCCTTTGTGTTTCCCAGCATGAGAGTCTCAGCATCCAGTGCCATATTTGTTAGTTTTCTATTGTCTACAGGGTTTTCTAAAGCCTTTTATTTCAGAAGTGGATGGCAAATCCTTCCTAGGCTGTCTTACTTTGGAATCTCAGCTTACTCACAATATCTAGCACGCAAGCATTTTACCTAAAGAGCAAATAAAAGATCCTCCATGATTACATAGCTAATAGACTAAGTATTGGTCTTGCCTTCCCATTTGATGCATATGCAGTGGTGGTCCTTTCCCCATTTCTCCCGTTCACAGCCTCCCCCTCTGTTTCTCTGCCTCTCTCCACCCCGCCAACACCTTTCTCCCTACTTGCTCCAATTAGCCCAAAAAGAATGGCTCAGACCTCAGGTGACTTTAGTCTACTCATTATCTTTGTACTTCTCAGTAGACTTGGCAATGTGAATATAATGAAATAACAGGTGATTGAGAACCAATGGTGATGAAGGAAAACATTAAAGCTGCTCTGAAAGAACTGGCAAAAAAATAAGGCCTCAGGAATTGATAGAATACCAATTGACATATTTCAACAAACAGATACTGCCTTGAATGTGTTCACCAGGTTACACCAAGGAGTCTGGAGCACAACTGGTCAATTGACTTAAAGAGATCTAAGCTTGTATCCATTAAACATAAAAAATGTCATCCAACAGAATGTGGAAATTATCAAACAATATTACAAATATCCCGTGCAAGCAAAATCCTGCTGAAGATTATTAAAAAAGAACTGGAACAGTATCTATACAGAGAACTACCAGAAATACAAGTTGAGTTTAGAAGAGGCCATGGCACTAGGGACATAATAGCCAATGTCAGATGGATCTTAGCTGAAAGCAGAGACTACCAAAGGAATACCTATCTGTGTTTCATTGACTGTGCAAAGGCGTGCGACTGTGTGGATCACAACAAATTGTAGCTAACCTGAGAAGAATGGGAATCCCAGAAAAACTGATTGTGCATATGTAAAACCTATACTCAAACCAAGAAGCAGTCCTCAAAATAGAGCAGGAGAAAACAGCAGGGTTCAAAATTAGAAAAGAAGTGAATCAAGGATGTGATCTGTCTCCATGAATTTCCAGTCTATATGTGGAAAATATTCAGGAGGTTGGATTTCATGAGATTGAGTGTGGCCTCAAGCTTGGAAGAAGATTCATCAACAACCTGCATTATGCAGATGGCATGAAACTTGCTTGCCAAAACTGAGGGGACCTGAAGTACTTGCTTCAGAAGATCAAGAATCAAAAGATGAATTACACTGGGAAAATCTGCCATCATGGACCTCTCCAGAGCACTAAGAAGCAACAACTGTAGTCTATACACTAAGATGCACCTGATCCAGGATATGGTCTTTGTAATTATTTACTGTGCATCAGAAGCAGGAAATAACTCAGGATGGTAGAAAGAGAATTTATGATTTTGAGCTGTGGTGTTGGAGAAGAGTACTGAATATACTACGGACTTCCAGGAGAACAAACAAATATTCTAGAGAGGGTGAAACCAGACAGCTCCTTGCAGGCAAGTATGCTGAGTTTTTTTCTGAGATACTTTGAGCATGTTGCAAGGAGAGACCAGTGATTGGAGAGGGACAACATGGTTGGAAGGGCAGAAGGACAGTGCAAGAGAGGAAGAACATGGGTAAGATAGATTGATTCAGTGACTGGGGTAATAAAGCATAGGTGTATCAGAGACAGTAAGACTGGCACAGATTAGAGCAGGGTTCATGGCTATTGTATATAGGGTTTCGATGAGTCACAAGTGATTCAATAGTACATAACAATAATTGAAAGACACACACACACAAAAAAAAAACCCCAATCTGTGTGTCCTGTCTGTGAGACTAGATAAAGATGGAGACTGTTTACTAAAATGTTGAGGACTATAATGATTATTCTCACAAAGTGAAATATTGTTTGATATATGTCTCCTCATTTACACTTAAATATAGTATTTTTGATAATAAGTGTATATTATTACTATCAACTCACTTTAGTCTATTAAAGTTATATCTGCTTTTACTATAAATATATATGTTATGTGGAACAGATTGTCTGGGAGGCTGAGCTCTATGAAGAGAAATATGGCGTTAGGATTGGAGGTAGACTCCTCAACAATCTGTGTTATGTAGATGACACAACCCTACTTGCTGAAACTAAGGAGGACCTGAAGTGCTTGCTGCCTAAATTCTTTAATACAAATTGAAGTTCGACATCAAGAAAACAAAGATTCTCATCACTGGGCTGATTGACAGCATCATGATATATGGTGAAGAGACTGGGATTCTTAACAGCTTTAGTTTGCTTGGCTCCACAATCAACACTTCAGTACCAGCAGCCAGGAAATAAAAGACAAATTGCTTTGGGAAAGTCTGCTGGCAAAGACTTCTCCAAAGTACTTAAGAGCAACAATGTCAGTCTGGAGACTACAGTGAGCCTGATCCAGGTCATGGTCTTTGCAATTACTTGCTTTGTGTCAGAAAGAAAGACAATGACTAGGGATGGTAGAAGACGAATTGATGCCTTTGAGCTGTGGTGCTGGAGAAGAGTATTGAATATATCGTGGACTGCTACGAGGACAAATATGTTTACCCTAGAGAGGGTGAGACAAGGCTGCTCCTTGAAGGTAAGGATGTTGAAGCTTCATCTGACATGCTTTGGACATGTTGCAAGGTGGGATCAGTCCTTGGAGAGGACATCATGCTTGGGAGGGTGTAGGGACATCACAAGAGAGGAAGACCCTCAATGAGATGAATTGATTAAATAACTGGGGTAAAGGGGTAGGTGTTTCAGAGACAATAATATTGGAACAGGATAGAGTAGGGTTTAGGGCTGTTGTACATAGGGTCGCTATGAGTCACAGGTAACTGGATGGCACATAACAACAACAGCAATAACCATATATGTTCATATATATGTTTTAAATTTTTGAAATTGTTTAACATATATTTTCTTCTTCAAATTAGGAGTGAAACAGTTAAAAGTTATGGCATCTCCTAGATTGGTGAAAACTCACCTACCAGCAGACTACCTCCCAGCCTCATTTTGGGAAAAGAACTGCAAGGTAATCAGTGTTAAGTGTTTCTAAACTTAATTAAACTGAAAAATTCAGAATTTCAGTGTCAAGTTATCTCCTTAGGTATTCCATATGCCACTCACTCACTGCTCCTTCCGAGGAATCCTATTTTTTGTTTCTTAGGCTATAACTCTTAATGAGAAGGAGCCATCTTTCTCTCAAGGAGCCGTTGGTGGATTCGAAACAGTGGAGATATGTGTGGAGGTTTTTGGTTACCAGTGCAACATGTTTACAGTGTATGGCATTAGAGCTCCTGACGCACACTGGTGTATTTATTCTATCCTTTTTCTCTTATGCATTATTGAGATGGAGTTGAATTATAGCTGCCACTCCAGCAGATTTTCTGAGGCTGTAAATTACCTAGTAGGAGACTGCTCATCTTTCTCCCATGGAATAATTGATGAATCCAAATTTTCAAAGAGGGGCTACTTCTGGGTTAACAGTCCAATTCCTTACAGACTAGTACACTAGAATGAAGATGAAATAAGTTCAATTTAACTGGAAGTTTAATTTTAAACTTTTTCCCAGAAGGAGATGAGTGAAGACTTGAGTGCAAGAGGTTAGATGTTGTCTTAACTATCTAGTAATGTTATAACAGAAACATCACAAATTACTGTAAAATTTCCTCAAAATTCTGTAAGCTAAAATTTAAAACCACCTTATGAACATATTGATTTATGTGGTGGGTATTTCTTTCCATTTCAGTAGATCATCCTTGGTGTTCTTTTGCCTGTAGACAGGATTTCATATAGTTTATCTTTCTCTGATTGAATCTTTTTGCCCATTCTATAACTTTTAAAAATTGTATACTGTTTTATATACAAAGTTCATAAAGTTCTTATACATTCTATTTTTTTTTGTTTTTACAACTCAAGAGTGATCTGACAAGGGCTCCTCTTATATTGATTTGACCATGTTCAAATAATGAAAAAAAAAGTATTTCTAAATAGGATCAGATTCTCAGATGTAGGGGATATTTTGTGTGTGTATGTGTATTTTGGGGACATATTATATAATCCATGGAAACAGTTAGTTTAAGAAATTTGAACTCTGTCCTGCTTTTTATATAGAAAGGGAAGTGTGTACACAACAATGACAATAAAAAACTTGATGTAACATAAATAAGAGTAATCTACTGGCATCATCTGTAGAGAATTGCATTGCTACTCCCAAAGGCTGTGAGACTCTGGCAGCTGGGATCTATCAAAAAAGTTCAAGGTTTAGCAGAATAAAAGATCACATTACCTCCTGCTGCCAACCCAGAAAAATCATAAAGAAGTATTATGGAGAACTTGTATCCAGACTTTACAATAAAGATCATAATTCTTTGCAGAGAACATTTAACAAAGAGTTACCACGAAGAAAGGCAAGAAAAGATGACTTGAATCACGCTCATTACTAAGAATGTAAATAACATTCTGAATATGAACCAACAAATAGTTCTATTTAACTCTTAGCTGAAAATTATTTGTGACAATTATTGTAAACAATACTTAAAAAGTTGTTAAGTCAAAAAAAGTCAAAAGCTGTCAAGCGGCTTGCAACTCACAGCGACCCTACGTAAAACAGCTCTAAACCCTGTTCTATCTATCTTGAACCAACTTTATCATCTCAGACACATCCACCCTGTTACCCCAGCTATTGAGTCAATCTATCTTATCCAGGGTCTTTCAAGGTCTTCCTCTCCTGCACTGTCCTTCTTCCCTCCCAAACATGGTGTCCCTTGCCAAGGACTGATCTCTCCTTGCTACATGCCCAAATTATGTCAGGCAGAGCTTTAGAATCCTTACCTACAAGGAGTAACCAGGTTTCACTCTCTCTAGGACTACTTCTTTGTTCTCCTAGTCATTCTTAGGTGCCATCGAGTCTTTTGCGACTCATAGCGATCCTGTGTACAAGATCCCTAAATGCCGTTCTATCCTGAGCCAACCTCGCCATCTCAAACACATTTATTCCCACCACAGAATCGATCCATCTCATTGAGGGTCTTCCTCTCCTGCACCATCCCTCCACTCTCCCAAACATGATGTCCCTCTCCAAGGACCAGTCCCTCCTTGCAACATGTCCAAAGTATGTCAGATGAAGCTTCAGAATCCTTGACTCCAGGGAGCATTCTGGCTTCACCCTCTCCAGGTCAAACCTGTTTGTTCTCCTAGCAGTCCATGGTATATTCAACACTCTTCTCCAGCACCACAACTCAAAGGCATCAATTCTCTTTCTATCATCCCTATTCACTGTCCCACTCTCCAATTCATAGCACATAATTGCAAAGACTATAGTAGTCCTAGTAGTCCATGGTATATTCAAGACTCTTTTCCAGTGCCACAACTCAAAAGCATCAATTCTCCTTTTTTCATCCTTTGTAAATGTCCAGCTTTCTGCTCATAGCAAGTAGTTGAAGAATATGACCTGGATCAGATGTACCCTAGTCTTTAGACTGACATCATTGTTCCTCAGTAAAGTTAACATGTATAATTACTGTTGTGTAAATTAAGTTCTTGCTTTGTACCGAGGATAGCGACCAACTCACAGCTGAACCTCCAATGAATTTTCAGAGGCAGTTAATGGCATGGGAGGCATTTTTCTTTCACAGAGCAGCTGGTAGATTCAAACAGCATGCTTTTGGTTTGGCAGCACAATTCTTTACTACTAAATCACAAGATCTATCATTAAGTTAATTTCTTTTTCTGTAGTAATTATATGTTTCCACAGTAGTCCCTTAAAAATGAGATTCTTATTTCTTAAAAGTGAACTTTGAAAGTCTTTAGTTTGAAAATGAAAAATTTGAAAAAGCCAAGGTAATGGCCTTATTTGTATCCAGTAAACAGTTATGTGTTACGAGCCGTCCTCTCTTATGACATCACATAGTCACGTAAGATAAGAGAAGACCCCAGCAATATTGGAATTGAGAATGATTCTTTTTTTTGTAATAATGACGACCATACCTAGAAGAAGCAATGGAGATATGAAGCAATGAAATAATTTCTTGGAGAGACAGTCCAGAATGACAATTGGATTGCATCTGATTGCAGAACTTCTTAAAACCAGAACTAGCACACAAAACCAAAGTTTTCTGGTTCCTAAGTCATTGGTGTTTCTTATCTGTCTAAAATGGAAATTTAATTATTATGTTGGTGGTCATTCCACCAGATTCTCTGCTGGAGAAAGAGGGACAATCTCCTCCTGTATCTGTCAGATCTGATTTAACGGTACACATGTAAAAAATAATAAAACAATATGTTTGTGGTTATTGTATTTTTGCTGAAGTCAGTGTACTTTTTGTTAAAAAGTTAATTGTGATTTTAATGAAATTTTATAGATAAGTTGAATTTTCATTTATTCTTTGTTGCACATTTTCCTCCCTCCCCTAGGCTCCAGTCCTCTTTACAATGTACCTCTTTTTCTGGACCTTTGTCTTATATAGAATGCCGAATCATCTATTCCTTTTAAACAGTTCTCTCCCTCATCTGTTCCAATACAGTGTTCATTATCTTAACCACTCTTTTCCTATTCTCCTTCCAATCCTCTGTGTCAGGCCTGCCTCATAACAGTGGTGTTATGCAGTATTTGTCTTTTTGAGACTGAAATGGACCCTCATAAGCATTTATCTGTCAACATTGCAAATGAGGAAACAAAAATATTTCCTCTTCATCCTCGTTCTCTGCTTTTGCATGAATGAGGAGCTCTGCACTGTGGCTAAGACATTCAGCTGCTAAGGAAAAGATTGGTGGTTTAGAATCTACTAGTTTGTTTGTGAGTGAGAGAGACAAGACAGTCTGTATTTACAACGATTTATAGTCTCAGAAACGATAGTGGACAGTTGTGTTCTATACCATTAGGTCACTATGAGTGTGTACTCAACGCAGGGGTTGTTTTTTTGTTGTTTTCCTATGAAAAATGGAGGTGTCGTATGAAGGCTTTAGGGCAAAACAACTGGCTGAGTGATTTTCCAAATTATTCACTCCCAATAATTAACTTTTGGATTGGCAGTGCAACCCCTTATCCACTAGGCCTCCAGAAGTCAAACTCAATAATTAACTCTTAATAATTTGCTGTCACTCAGTCTAGTTTTGGTCTGTTGTTTTGGGGGCTTTTTTTTTCAGTTACAAATTAAATACAGTAATAATTTAACTGGCTCAATCTGTATCAAGGGAATTTTGGGAAGCCTAATTAGATAAGTGAAAATAGAATTAAAAAAAAGCAAAAACATTTTACTATTAAACTATCAGTTTAGGCTCTGGAATGAAATAAGTTCTTTAGGTTATACGTATTTTGTTTATATTTTCTATATATAGTGAGCATACAGTTATATAACATAAATGTGCTCTCTTTAAAATTCTGTAAAATTTTTAAACATAGGTCATTTAATGTACAATTTCATCCTCTTAGATGATCTATGTTTGCCGCAATGCCAAGGATGTAGCTGTTTCTTATTATTATTTCCATCTAATGGTTCCTGCTCATGAAAATCCTGGAACGTTTCCAGACTTTGTCAAAAAATTTATGAGTGGAAATGGTAAGAATACCTATTTTTCTTTTGTAATCTCTCTAGGTGAATAATTCAGAATTTGATCTGATTGATTTTATGGAATTTGATGCAAATTAATACTATCTCAGATGTCAGTTTTTTGTCATTCATTCTGATGCTATTTTCCCAATCTTTAGTCAAAATATGCACATTCTAGAAGGCTTGATGATTAGAACAAACACAGGATTTCCAGGTAGAATAAAAAATAAAAGACTCTGGACATTTTAGTTAAACACATAAAAACATATATGTAGCAGGTGTCTGGGAGTTAGAGATAGCATTATTCCTCTCTAAGATTGAGACTCATTGGCAAATTCTCTCATCACTTTTTTTTAGAAAAGTATTTCACCATGTGTTGTTATAACTCTGTTGAACAAAGGGGAAAGGAAATAGAAGAAGGACTGTGAGTCTATTTCCAAGAATGTTAATATGTGCTCTAATTATTGGGGTTTTTTCCCTAACAAAATTAGAGGTAGTAAATGAGTAAGTGGTACATAGACAAAAGCAAATAGGTCTGACTTGGAGATGAAGGCTAGAATTTTAAAGCTCCACCTCACATACTTTGGGCATGTGACCAGGAGGGCCATCATACTCTGAAGGGTTGAGTAACAGCTCTTGAGAGTAAGACCCCGGATGAGATGGACTCATTCAGTAACTGAGACAATCAGTGGGGGTAAGTGTGTCGTAGTAAGATTGACTCTGGACAGGGCAAGCTTCAAGAGCTATTGTTCATAAGGTTGCTATGAGTCACAGGCGACTCCATGACACATAACAAGAGCAACCACCTAACATGAGGTCATAATTCACTAGGATGTATGAATCTGTCTGTCTTTCTCTCTCTTTCTTTCTCATGCACACCCTGTACAATGATTTAAGTATAGATAGCATTTCTAGATACAGATTATTCAAGATATATTTCTCTCACTGGTGAGAAATTGACTTAATATGTGAAACTGAGGTACTAGTTGTCTTTTAGTTATTTTTTATCCTTTTTTAAAAAAAATTAATGTTAATAAACATTTACAGAGATTTTGGATTTCCATTAATTCATTGCTACTCTTTTCTCCCTGCCCACCCCTCCCCACCAGTTTATCCTGTTTTTTTAAGAACAGATTCTGAGACAAGGATCTTGTTACAATAGTTTTTTGAAGGATACATACCAATTGATTTATTTCAACAAACAGACGCTGCCCTGAGT